GGGTCGGGCTGGGAGGGGTGTGGGTGGGTGGGAGAGTGGGAAGGGGTACAGGTGGAAGCATGGGGAGGGGAGGGGTGCGGGTGTGAGGGCGGAAGGGGCAGAGTTCAGGGTTGGGAGGGATGTGGGTGTGAGAGTGGGAAGGGTAAGAGAATAGGTGGGGAAGGGTGTGGGTGGGAGGGACAGGGAGGGGAGCTGGTGGATGGCCGGCCGGGGAGGAGTATGGTTCCCACTGCCCGCAGCGAACCCCTGCAGTCTCGGAAGCCGGGGTCTCTTGTGATGCTTCAGGGGCTTCTGAACTGACACTGGACCCTCAGCTCCCCAGCCAACCTGCCCCCTGGATGAACGTTCTGCACAGACTTTCATCATCGGAAAAGGCTGTTTTCCGAGGAAGCCATAAACCCAATCTAAGTCCTCAGAGAAAGGCTGACTCTACCCCGGGCCTTCTGAGACCCCCTGAGAGACCTGGGAGGAAGTGCAGGGGTTTCTGGAAGCTCCTTTGAGTTGGGCTGAGCCCTGAACACCTGCCCTCCTTCCACCCTGCCAGAGCATCCCAGAGGGACCTAACACCCACAGCTTCAGTGAGCCATGCCCTCACCCTGCCGGTTCCCACGATGCAGCCCCGCTGCAGGGATTCCCTTCCTCAGGAGGCCCGACACCAGCTTCTCCCAGCGCCAGCTTCTCCCTGATGCTAGCTTCTCCCCATCACCAGCTTCTCCCCGACACCAGCTTCTCCCAGCCCTCCAGGGCAGGGGAACCACTCCGTCCAAAGCTTCCCAAAGCTCAGAGATGCTGTGAATACACCCATAGCAGCTGCGGCCTGGCTGGGACACACAGGCTGAGCTGGCCTGGGCAATGAGCTTCTCATGCATTCCAGAGAAGGACAGGCAAGGTCCACCCCAGCCTGCGTCCAGAGCTCCTGACGTGCCAACATTCACAACCGCCACAACCGTCTTCATCCTTGGAATGAGAGGGACAGCGGGAGACACAGTGGCCCTTCCTGGAGGAGCCGCTGACTGCCTGACCGACCTTCCTCAACACAAACCTCCCGAGCTCATGCCTGGCCTTGGTTCCATCTGCAAGGAGCAGTCTAACACAGAGCAGACGACCCCATCAGCAGATGAGAGGGCAACTGTGTTTTGTTTTGTTTTGTTTTCAAAGATGGGGTTTCACCATATTGGTCAGGCTGGTCTCGAACTCCTGACCTCAGGTGATCCGCCCACCTCAGCCTCCCAAAGTGCTGGGATTACAGGCGTGAGCCATCGCGCCCGGCGGCAACTGTGTTTTAATCTCAATTCAGCTTAGTGGTTTCTCCAGAGACGGGAAGCTCGTCGCTAGGATGAGGGTGTGGGGCGTCTGCTGCTCCAGCCCTCAGCGCATCAGGAAGTGTTTAAGTGACGGCTCCCACCGGAGAAGCCGAGAGCGGAGGAAAAATGATGTGGACATTTGTTCTCTGCTTTTGAAAACAAGCAATTTGCTTGTGTATGAATATGCCAAGTATCTTATTTAGACATAAAGAACAAACGCACAACACAGCCTGGATTCATTCCTGCAGCATTCACAAGCTCATGTGCTCTCCAGCACGGCACTTACTCACTTATGGCTGTGGACCCGACGCCGGCTGGTGCTGGAACAGGGTCAGAGACCCGCCCCGACCTCACGGGACAGGAGGGCAGACGTGGTCAGACAAACGCATCGCCCGGCAGTGTGGGCCATGGCGGCCGAGCTCCAGGGAAGGACAGGCAGCCTCTCCCACCCGCTGACCCCACAGTTCATAGTGATAGTGATGGCGAAGGTGGGGGGTGTGGGTTTTGATGGGGGCGGCCGCTGAGGCCAGGCTCCCCTCGGCTCCTGTCCCTTCCAGGCCAGTGGCCGCCCTTCCCCCAGTGCCATGGCGTCCACTCGGCCAGTGCAGCAGCAGGAGTCAGGGCATCTCTGCTGACCACGTTCGGGGCGGCCTCTGCGAAGGTGCCCAGGCCTCTCCGGGTAGAAGACACCGCCGCCTGCGGCCCCCATGCCATCTGCTCAGGCCTGGGCTTTGAGGAGCGGACACCGGGAGCCAGGGTCCTGGCCAGTCCTGGCCCAAGTGCCTCCCCGCACCGTGGGCACAGCGTTTCTCCTCCAACACACGGACACACACTGAAGGCTCGGAAGGGAAAATTATTTCAAAATTAGCCTCCTCCCGAGAAGGAACCGGCAAGGCAAACGCTCTTAGCTGGTTTTCTCTATAATTTAAAAGACGTTTTCAAATTATGCCCTGATTCTGTAAGAAGCCAAGTAAGATGTGAGAGGCCTTTAAGCCCATTTTGATTGAAGCACTTAGATTTCTGGCAAACTGCACAAAATCAGGACCCCATTATCAAGGCTGAATGCCTCCTCAGCTTCCAGGGATCCAAGTAGGTGCAGAAAACTCCAACTGGTGAATATAAAAAAGAAAAAAGCCAAAAAATAGGCTTGTGGGGGCGTGACCCTCACCTGGCCCACCCAGGGCAGAGGCCCAGCAAGGCACCAGGAACCCCCAAAAACAGAGCGCTCAAGACAGACTTTGTGGAGAGCTGGGCCCACCTTGCTGACCCCTTGGGGGCCGCGCTGGGGTCCCCGCGTCCACACCTGTTTCCTGTTAGCGTAGCCCACTGTGTCCACAGCCCTGCTCAGAAACAGTGAGGCCCCACCTGGATGAGAGCGCTGGGGCCAGCGTCTGCACGGAGCTGGCCTGGCCGCACTGCTCTGTGAGCCCAATGCCTGCAGGACGGCGTCCCTGTGGGCAGCGCAGAACCACAGGCGTGACACCCTGGGAGGCTCATCACTCCCGAGGACACCCTCGCCCCCCTTCCGAGTTAAGCCCAGAGCTTTCGGGTGGCCAGCACGATGCCTGGAGGCAGGGGCAGCTCGGGCAGCTCTGGGGGTCCTAGGGGTGTCCGTGGCTGAGGCAGTAAAGGTAATTTAATGGCAAAGAGCATCCAGCCCCGCTGCCTGCGGCCTCCACACCATCCCCACCTCCGCCAGGAATGCTGGTGAGGGGAGCTCCCTCTGGCCCTGCTGCTAACTGGGACCCTGAAGAGTCCACTCGCTGCTGCTGGAGGACCCCACAGAGCCGGCCAACGCCCTCCACCTCCTCTGCATGTCCCCAGCCTGCGGCTCCCTTGCCCATCAGCAGCAGTCTCTGTGCAGTGGCCCTGGCAGCCCCAGAAACAAACACCTGCTCTTCCCTCCAGCAGTACAGCAGTCAGCTCACACACAAACCCACAGCAGGGCACGGACCTGGGCCACATGGAGCCTCTGCTCTGCGCCATGCCCTGCGCGCCCGTCCCGGTGACCACGCATAAGTAGGGCCGCTCCACAGCCCAGGAGCCAGTGCCCAGCAGCCCGAAGCCCAGGCCCGCAGCGGCCCGCCGCGAAGAGAGTACCTGGGGCTTTCTCCACAAAGATGACCTTGGAATCCTGCAGGAAGTTGTGGCCGGACAGGACCATCTTCTTCCCGCCCACGACCGGGTAGCTGTCCGTGCTCTGCTTCTCCACCAGAGGCAGCTCCTGGGCCGAGCGCTGGGCTGCGTCAGAGGGAGAGGTGCAGTGAGGGCCCGTCCGGGTGGGTGGCCTGGGACACACACATGGCACCCATCAGGTCACGTGGGAGCCGACCCACCCGGAGCCTGCGGGCCACTCCTGCGGACACCGCAACTTCTAAGGGAGGTGCTGTGCCGTACGCACACACTTTGCCCCGATGGTGTTCACCTCCTCCTAAGGAAATCACCAAAATATCCCCACCTGGCCGGGCGTGGTGGCTCACGCCTATAATCCAAGCACTTTGGAGGCCAAGGCGGGCGGATCACCTGAGGTCGGGAGTTCAAGACCAGCCTGACCAATGCGGTGAAACCCCGTCTTAAAAAAAAAAAAAAAAATCCCCATCTAAGAGTCAGCCAGTTTCCCTCAAATCACAATCACCACACAAATATGCAGAGGTCAGCACAGCGCGGGGGGAAGCGCTGGCCTATGCCGTGTCCCCTGGCCACGCTTGGGCGTCAGAAGAACCAGAGCCTGGGGCCCCTGGGAGGGCCCACAGTCAGTCACCCAGCTGTGACGGACACAAACACCTCAGTGTTTCAGGACACACTTCCTCTCCTTTTTAATTTTTCCAGTAGGGGCCACGAATCGGGACTGTCTGGAAACCCCGGCAGGCGCACACAGCTAAGAGCACGCACAGAAACGCGCCCAGCTGAAACCCTCGTGGCCACACGCTGAGGGAGGCTCGGCGGGAACAGCCAGTCCCAAGTCTGTACGAGCGAGACGCTGAGAAGGGGTGGGACTGCGGCCACGCGGTGTCCACTTACAGCATTCGATGGGGTTGGAGGCCACCTGCAGGGACAGCGTGCGGCCGCCCGGCTGCGGGACGTGCACGCGGAAGACCAGCCGCACCCGCGTGTTCTTCCTCCCAATGTCGGTCTCGCCCTTCCGGAGTTCAATGTCGGAGTTTCTGAGTTTCAGGATTCCGGCACAGTCGATGCTGCCCAAAACAAATGCCACAGCTTTCCTCCCACGGCTGACACAGGAGCATCGAGGCCTGGCCCTGCACACCCTCTGGCCCTCACCCCAGCCCCAAGAGCTCATGCCAGGGAGCGGCCACTCCCCTTCCCCGAGGGAAACAAGACCTTGAAGCGAGTGACGTGAGGCCCTCGCCAAGCTCAGAACAGAACCCGACACCTGTGAGGGGGGTGAGCGGGGGCGAGAGAGGGTGCGGGGGTGAGTGGGGGTTGAGGGGGATGAGGGGGGATGAGTGGGGGTGAGCCCCTAGAAAAGTCACTCCCCACCTTTCCTCCAGCCTCCACCTTGACCAAGCAGGTCCCATCTGAGCTGTCTCAAGCCCTGGCTGCCGCCGGCCACACTGCCACATACACGGGACATCACCAGAGCGGCAGAGAGTAGCCCAGGGGAGGGGCCAGGGGAAGCAGCTCACTCTCATCTTGGAGTAGTTTCCAAAAAGCTCAATTTATTATAAGATCCTGTCATTTCCACTACATTTAAAAGCCCTCATTTTTTGTGTGTAAAACCCATTTCTTCTATGGTTTCATATAAACTCTTTTACTCAATAATTGATTCAAAACGAGATTCCAGTAACACATTCCGTGTGTACATTCTCAATGCAATAAAACCCAGTATTTTTCTTCCTGATAATCTAAGAGAATATAGAGAATAAATGCAGCCTCCCTGACCCCCGAGAGGCGGTGTGAGAGCATGGTCCTGACTGCCCACATTACGGTGGGGTGGATGTGGCCGTCAGTAAAGCCAGGACATCTACTGCGGCTGTGGACCGCAGGCTTCGTTCTGGAAAAGCACCTGATGGTGCCCTGTCCTTGGGAACCTGGATGACAGCTCTCGAGGCAAACCCAGGGATTCGGAATGAGTTCCCAGGCGGGCAGACTCCCCCAGACGCTTTAAAAGCCAACGTGGAAGGAAAGCTTTCCCTTTGTTTTTGACTCAGAGGCTTTGAATAACTTACTAAAATCCCACACGAAGCCCCATGTGACGTGGCCCCCGCCGCCATCTACCACACGCCTCCCTCACTGTCCCAGGACCTCCACACTCACCCCCGAGGGCAGCACAGGACAGGCACCGCCCACGCAGCTTCAGCATCACAAGGGCTCCCGGCCTGCGGTCACCTCGCAAGACTCTGTCCCTGCCCTCTGGCCCAGCTCTGTAAAGCTGGTCTGCACATCAGCCATCCCCATACTTCCACCCACAGATGAGTCTGTTATCTGTCCCCCCACGGCACTGCGTGGCTGTCGGGGACCAGCAGTCCTCCACCTCCCTGCCTTCACAGGTTAGGGTCAGCGTGTGCAGCACAAGCTGAGGCTAAGTGAATGAGGCCCTGTTTGGAAATTACATGTTTTGTTTTCAGCTTACTAAAAATTCGCTTTTAAACAAATTACAGTGTCAGATGAGACTCTGCACCTCAGTGCGGTCCTGTCCGCATTGCCAGAGACGCCTCAAGTTAAATGCGACCCGACATCCCGACTGCTCTAACTTCTCAATGCTCGTGTTTTAACCATTCCTCCATTTGCGCTGCTGTATTCAGAAAGAAACAGGGTCCTGTGTCAGCGCTAACATGGAGAAGGATATTTATAGCTGTGTATCTGAGATATTATTTTAAGTGGCAATATACACAGGGCTGAAACCCTAGAGAGAAGCAACTCCATTGTCAAAAGCACAAGTGAAGTTTACTTATTAGCTGTTAAACCAAGAGTGTCCTGGCCATGGAGGCTGGAAGTGTGGGGGGCCGGCCAAACCCCCAGGGCCGGGAGGAAGGCACGCCCTGCAACCCCCACCCCAGAGGCCAGCGGTCCCCGCGGCCTGCGGCTTACACGGCGCGCATGTTGTTCTCTGGCAGGAGCGGGATCTCCAGGACTTTGGTGTTGGAGAGGATGGCCTCGTGGCTGGTGGTGGACACGGTCTTCCCCGTGATCCGGTGCACCTGGTAGAAGGCATGTGGGCGCAGCAAGCGGTCATCCGCCGTCCCGATGAACAGCTGCAGCATCAGAGGCTCATTCTCCAAGTAGCCATGGAGCTGGCAAGAGAACAGAACACCCGCTCAGCACCGAGCAAACGGACTGCCACGCGTCCCCGGGGTGCACAGAAAGAGCCTGCAGAGGTTCGAGGCCTGCATCCCTTCCCCGGCCCCTTTTCATTTCTCTGTGATGTCACACTAGTGTATTTTTAAAGCAGACTAGAAAATGTCTTGTCATCCTAATGGTCCTGGCCACTGAGGTCTAGGCTTTAAACACCTGTTGCCACTTTCAAATACACACACATGCGCACATACCTGTATGCTCCCGGGCGCTCTCCTGTGTGGGCACACCCGTACGCTCCCGTGCATTCTCACATGCATGGGCATGGGTGTGCACATGGAGCACGGCACACACGCTCACTGCACACCTGTGCAGGCCACACCAAGGCCACAGTGAAGCTGGTGGGAGAGTGAGTGCAGTGCCCACGCGGAGGCCACGTGAAGCTGGTGGGGAGCTTGTGCGTGCCCCATGCCGAGGCCACGTGAAG